CGATGATTTTCGGCATTAAGCACACAAGGTAGGTGTGAAGAAACAACCGCTCATGCAGTTAACCCAGTTCAAGTTTTGTGCAAAAACGCATGATCGCACCGGCTCGCTTGGTGCGTTCCAGCCTGGGTTATAATCAAAATTTAAATCTAGTGAATGGTCATTTTTGAAAATTTTTTCAATAAATCAGACAAATTTTGCATTCAACAGGTTTTATTTACAGCGAAATTACGGTTTGCTTTTTAAAATTCTCTTTTGTTGTTCTTGAATTTACGCGTTTACAGGCTGGAGAGTATTTGCTCCGGCTGCTGAGGAGGAAAAAGTAAGCAAGTTTTCATTTCCATTGAGAATGGGAATCCTTTGGTGCACTTCACCAACACCCGAAGTCAACACAAAGATTGACTACTGCGACTTTTGGTGGAATGTAAGTATTTTTTAGTTACTTACTTGCTGCTCTACTGTTAAACAGCCGAATTTGAACGACAGCACTTCAAACAATTTTTTTTTCATCCTAATAAATTTGTCGAAGAACCGAGGGTCATCACGCAAAGTCCTCCTTGACTTCGTGCAGTTAGGAAGCTTTAGCAAAACTCTCTCACTAAATGGTGCTGCAAGGAAATGGTCCTCAATTACAAGAGTAGATGTGAAAAAGCTGTGTAAAGGAAGAACCTTCAGCCAGACATCACTGATTTTACAGGGCCGATCGGGCGCGCCGTGTGATTCCCATACAACCTGGATAATACCAGCCCATCCTTTGAGCGCTTCTTTTGGAATTTGCCTTCATTATCCGTTCATATTTGTAGGTTAGGAGATCGAATTTTGAGCTATTGCTTTACTACATGCGATTCTTGAAATTTGACTTCAGAATTTTAGTATATAAACGGACCTACTGGATGGAGACGCTACATTTCCGCTAAAACGAAGCCGTAAACTGTGTTTGCAGGAGAAGCCGAAATGGGAAAATATTGTGAGTGCGTCGATGATCACTGCATTAGGTCTGGAAATTGGTTCTCTGTTCTGGGTATCCATAACATTCTGCGCTTGTTGCTG